GTGTTTGTGTGTGTAAGATCAGTAGAGCTTGCGGCTCCCAGAGGCATACAGTATAGGGATGGGGGTTAAGTGACTCAGCACAATGATTCATTTGTAATTGGGGGCAGTGCCTCGACAGCACACACACACAGATCCACACACATACACATRCGCAAACTGCGCTTGTTCAAGGCGGATGACCTTGTCAAAGATGATGGGAGCGACTGAGTGAGGCTGATTATTAACAACTGCTGCCTGCTATCAAGGCAGAGAAGGAGAAACACAAAGAGCAGGACAGATCAGCTGCGCTCAGATTTCAGCTGGTTTTGAACAAAGCAGTGCATCGCAAACAGGAGAGCTACAACACAAAAGTGTCCACTCAGTACAAGTTACCATGTTTCTGCCCCAAATATAAAGCAGAACTGATGAAGGCAGCAGGGCAGGTTTAGCCCACAGACCTGGTCACAGAAACTCAACATCACATGAAATCCATCGTCTGGACCCACGTTTCTCATGGACTGATAGGTGCAGTGCTTTGGACAGGAGCAGCTTTGTGAGTCACTGCAGGGGGTCAAGTAGAAAGATGTAGGATTTCTCTTCCACAGAGTGTGAATAGGATTCAGAGAAACCAACTAGATGAACGTTTCGTGGCAACTGGTAGCATCCTCCTCCTTATTGCCTCTATATAAATTCAAGTCATTTACCATTTAATATTAAGTTTTTTACATGAAAGAAAAGTGACTTCTTGAGTCGACTCTTTTCAAAAACAGGCTTAATTATTAACTGATAATGAGCTTCCAGGACTCAGAAGTTTCAATCACAATGGGATGTTTCATTGTGAAACCAAGCATTATGAACTTGATTCATTTGTACTTTGAAAGTTCATGATCAGGAGCAGAGTTGTAATGTAACTAAGTACAAATACTTTGTTACTGTACTTAAGTAGAAATTTTGGTTATCTGTACTTTACTTGAGTAATTCTTTTTCAGCGTACTTTTTATTTCTACTCCTTACATTTTTTTAAAAAGGTAAGAAGTAGAAAGTCATTACTCCTATTTCATTTCGGCTTGTTATTGTAAAAAAATATTATTCTGAAAAATCGTGTCTCCTGGATAGACTGAATTTAATTGTGGTTGGATGAGAAGTATAAATATATACCATTCTGATTCTGTATTTAGTTTGTACATAATCCATCAAAGCTGCACACCTTTAGAAAAAAATATTTTTTGAAGAGGTCACCTCCCAATAAATGCATTTTGGAAAATCTAACCGTTAATTTTTACTCAATACTTTTACTTGTATTATTTAAGTATAATTTAAGTCAGAAATTCACTTTTGATACTTAAGTACAAAATAAAACAGATACTTTAAGATTTTTACTCAAGTAATATTCTTGGAAGAGACTTTAACTTTTACCAAAGTATTTTTATARGATACTTGTACTTTTACTCAAGTATCGCTTTCAGGTACTTTACAACACTGATTGGGGGCGACAGTGGTGACAGGAGGTAGGGATTCGTCCTGTAACCAGAGGGTTGCAAGAACGAATCTCCACTTTGTCCCAGGGCAGCTGTGGTTTACCACCATCAGTGTGTGAATGTGTGTAGTGATTGTAGTGCGAAACACTTTGTAATCTTTGGACTTGATAAAGTGCTGTACAAGTTAAGGCCATTTACCRTCTCCCCACAGAAACCCCAGCAACATAGATGCCACAATTTTAGCCCATGATTATCAGCATTATTACAAACTGCACTTAAAATGACCTCATGAGCTTTCCTGTCAGCACAAGAGAGGGTTTTGTAATGCTTTTATTTTAACGATATCAGGTACATTGACATTTTCAGTGTAGAAATCAGCAACATGCATAATTTCTGCTAAAAAGAAACATTTCAAAACATTACAGGTCTAACCTTCAAGCTTTTAACAATGTCAAAACTATTACAACATGCAAATACAAAAATATATCCCACTTACATAGCCAAAGACAGCCACATTAACGTAGCAATGTTAAAAATCCATCCATTACCTTTAACCCACTTCTTCTTTTCAGKGTCGTGATGGTCRCTGGTGCCCATATCCAGCAGTCACTGTGCGAGGGGCRTGGTTCACCCTGGACATCACAGAGCTGTCCATCACAGGCCCACACATAAACAACCAACCATTCACTCTCTCACTCACACCTGGGGACAAATTAGACTTACTAATTAACCKAACAGTCATGTTTTTGGTGTGTGCGAGGAAACCGGAGTACCTGGAGAAAACCCACGCATGCACAGAAAGAACATGGAAATTCCACACAGAAAGGTCCCTGGCCTGGATTTGATCAGACAGCCTTGCTGGGAGGGAACAGCTCGACCAACCGAGCCACGCTGCCACCCGTGTTAAAAAGCCTTGAGGTTTTCTTCAGAACAAAAARTGAGACATGAAAACTTAAAGTAGCCTGTTGGAACAGACATAGTGGCAAAAATGAGACTAATGCGTCTGAAAGAAAGGATAAAACTCGCCTGTGGGTGTCTCTCTTGCTCCACCATCATTTCCCCAATGCACACACGCTCATACACCCATACACACTTCTCTCTCTCTCTCGATCACACTCTCTCTCTCTTCACACCCGGATGGATGACTTCACCGCTCTGCCTGGGTTTCCTTTATGATCCCGGGATCTCCCACTTCCCTCGCCAGACATCAGCCAGCACCACAAGCGAACGGATCTCTCCCTGCACACTCACACACTCTGCCTCTGTCTGCAGCCACATCTCATCCAGAGACCTCAGCACACCTACAGAAGACCCCCAGCAAGGAGAGACGCACACCAACAGCTCCAACTTGCACAAAAAAAGGAGGATCTACAGCTCCTACAACAAGGAAGACTGCTTTTATTCCCCTTTTTTCCTTGCTGGTGATTTTATTCCAGTCTCTGTGCCACGATGTCTGAGGTGCTGCCATACAACGAGGGCAAAATGAACGGCTATGGGGCAGACAGTGAGGTCAGTCAGATGTCCTTTAGCTGTGGACTGCAGGACACAAGCGCCTTTTTTGCTGCGTCGCAGGCGAAAAGACCCCCGAAGCTCGGACAGATCGGCCGAGCCAAGCGAGGTAAACAACATTTGCAACAACGGTTGCACTTATCGAGGTTGTCGATATTATCGGTGCACAATAAGATGCAAACATTCAGTGCACAAATCGAAGGTTCTGTTATTTCTCTTTGGATTTGTCGTGTCTGGAGTGTTGCACTCGTCTTGACCGTGTCACCCCTCAGTGTGAATGTACCCCCCMTTGTTGCAGCTGCAGATTCTGTTTACATTCGTGCACAAGAGATAATCTTCAAGCAAGGACACACCCCACATAGGCTCTCATCACACAATAGGTTCAAACCATGCAGATCATAGACTGGCTCAGTGCCATCAACCGAAACCAGGTGTKCCTCCTGCAACAATGCTTTCTATATCTATTTATTCCCCTACAACCGCACTACAGTCTCATCTGTCTGCTTGTTTTTTGGTGCGCCACATTCCTTTCCCTAATGAGCCTTTAAGTTGAGAAAAACAACACATTGTGGCAGATTTGTAAAGATGCACAATATAAATCTTCTGCTGCATTTGAGATTACATCTCTGTAAACACTGTCCTTCTTTTCTCCCCCACAGTGGTCATCGAGGACGACCGAATAGACGAGGTCCTGAAGGGGATGACGGACAAATCGTCACCCGGCGTTTAAAGTGTCATCAATGCCWTGTAGACTTTTTTAATTTCCGATCACCGATTTGAAGCACTTGACGGCCGTGCATGTTCGAGGATTGCAGGAGAAAAACGGCAGCTCGAAAGCGTTGGCAGAAGGATGATGGCAATGGGAAGGAGGAGGGAAGGAGTGTGAGGAGGAGAGAGGTGACGATGGACTCTTGAGGGAATTTTTTTTTTAAAAAGACCAAGATTTATGGTGGGATTGCTGGCAATTCTCCAAACCGAATCCCGATTTTTTAAGCGCCGGTGCGCAGTGGGATGTTGAGATGGCCGATACACGGCTCTGTATCTCAACCTCCGCTAGCTTAAAACGATGGATGAACTTGTCATTTCTTCACAACCATCTCTTTCTGGTAAACAAAATGAAAGAACTAAAGCGCTGTAAGCAACCAGACACTGCAAATAGAAGGTGAAGCAGCCCTATTTCAATAAGTTGTACAGTAGCTATAAGCTCCCAGTCGCCCATCCCTCCTCAAATCCTTTAGGCTTTGCTTTGTTGATCCAGTCAGCAACGGCGCATTTAAAGGGAGCTGTCTTTTCAGCACTGGTCCAATGCATTCCTGTTGCTGCTAATGCTTTATTTWAAAAAAGACAGACCAACCAAATGCTCCAATTAACTAGAGGAGACTCATTCATTGTATGTATAAAAGCATATATCCGAGGATGGTGCAATGTTGATAACTTCTGTAGTAAAAATTCTTGTTTGTTTGAGCACCTGAGCAGCATTAGGCCACAGATGAAACCAGGCTATATTCTTCTTCTTCTTCTTGTATTACCCATCAGTGGTTATGGTCCAGGCTGGCCCCTTCATGTAGCTGATTTGCACCTGCACATATCTTTATTTTTTTTGTTTTCACCCTTTTCTTTCTTTTTATTTCCAAATGTCAACAAGAAGCCAGCAGCAACGTGAAAATTCTAGTCCATGTTTTAAATATTAGTCCTAAAACTGGTGGGGGGAAAAGCATTTTTCTTTCATTTTTCTTTGGAGATTATTTGTGTTTGTATGAATTCAGAATTTTTTCCTCCATTTTGCATGAACTGTCCTCCTGGTGCCAACACATGTGCCACCCACTCCTACCCTGGCACGCTTCTTTTTAACAAAAGTCATATTTGTATTTTTATATCTAAATATTTGTTATTTAAATTAAATTATATGCTAGTCTACCGTCTTATAATTCATCAACACAAGTATTTGTATTTCAGAGTGGGTATATTGACTGAGATTGGGTTTATTACTTGGGGGGAATCCAAGATTTCAGCTTGGACTGGTCTCGTTCTATATCACAGGTCAGGCTTTTTTTTTAAAGACTAACTGAATGTGTTCGAGTTGTTTTGCACACATCAATGTTAAACTATTATTAAGAAATCGTATACTGTGAGTTAAGCTTCATTGATGAATTTGTTAGAAAATGGCAGTTTTAAAGTATATTGCACTGTTTACGAGTATCCGCAAATAACACGTTGTTATTTGACCTATTTTGGAACATTACTGGGTTTATTTTTCCCTTAATTATTTTTATTTTGTACCATAATTTTCAGAAAATGGTTTGTTGTGCATGAAACCTTAATATTTTCAGTAAAAACAACAACATTGTTTTATGAAGCAAAAAAGCAACAAAATGTCATGACATTCTAAGAATGAGTCATTGTATATTATGATGCCATTTTCACTGTATTTGGTGAATTAATAAATGGTGACAGAAAATGTTAATGCGATTCCTCTATGTGGCTTTTTTTTTTGCACCAAGACACTCAGTGGGGAGAAAAATCAAAACAACGAGCCACCACCGCAGAGACTGGAACAAAAAAAATAAACATAAAAACTAAAGAGTACGTTTTCTCCCTGAACTGAAGTGAACACAACATCTTTTAGGCAGATGAAAAATGAATCGTTGCAACGTTGGCCTTTGCAACGTTAAGGAATAAGCATAATTTTTGTGGTGGTAAAAATTGGTCTTTAAATAAATAAATAAATAAATTAGTGATCCATCTGTTGAAACTGCTAAACTGGCAACTGAATCCAATTAACCACAAAACTCTTGGGAGCTATGATTTGCTGCATAGTCATCTTTCAAAGTTGTAGTGTACAGTGTCCTCATACACACAAGGATATGTAAACACACACACAAACACACACACACACACACACACACACACACACACACACACACACACAGCCCCCCCCCTCTCGCTCACACACACACACATATATACACACACTTTCACATATACACATTCTTGAGACAAAGTCCGCCACTGCAGTTAAATCACTTGACTTTTGACCTCAATCTACACCAATGAGAATACCCCTGACACCGGGGTCCAGCCTCTATGACATCCTATAAATAGGCAGGTAATTTAAAACAGGAGAGGAAGGGACATCTCAGAGATTAATGACTTTCTCTCTGCATGCATTTCACTGTTTTCTAGTGGTTTTGTTTTGTTCAGCTGGTCTTATCACCTCAGTCTTATGGTGTTTCGTATCACGTTCAGCTTTTGGATTTGCAGCTTGCTTTTTCTGTGCTTTTCCACTACTGTTCAGGCCCAGGCAGAACTTTGTTGCAACACGCTTGTCTTTATGGCTTCTTGATTTCGGCAATCCTTCATAACTTACATGTATCCATATCAGGGATGGGAAACGGGACTGCAATTTTTTTGTCTACACTACCAGAGGGTTACATAGCACTGCACACTTACCCAAATGTGATAAAATGGACATTTTGAAAATGTTTGTGTATATGTTTATTAAACCAACAGTAACTTAACATATTTCATGCTCAAATGTATGTTTTACTTTTTGTTTTTTTTATTAATATGCATGTAAAATGTTTAAAGCAAACAAAAAATAAACACTTTACTGAGCTGAAGTGCAACAAAAAGATATAAGTCACTTGTTTATGTACTTACGACCTAAATAAATACCTCATATTAGCTTTGTGCAACGTGTTGGTGGCAACCTATTTTAAAATCCTCCACGGCAGCTGTCTTTAAGTAAACTAAACCCATAGGTTTGCCTTGGAATTCTRCAAACAGGTAGTCTACCTCTACCCAAAAATTGAACAACTTAAAAAAAATTAACTTTAAAAAGCTTTAGAAGCTAAGAGCTGCTTTTAGTCCTTTTTTTTAAGAAGTCACCCGCATGCCATATGTTGCCCATGCACCACCAGTTGCCAATCTCTGATCTATATTATAATTTACAGGAAGTCTTTGATGCATGAAACTTACTTTCCACATTCAGACACATCCTGGAAGCCAGGAGCGATTCTAGGATCTGACATTTAGGGGTGCTCAGCCCCCAGCAGGGCTAAGACCCAAGGGAGGATATTTGTTGATGCAATTTTCTAAATCTCACTGTTTATTTACATATATTCACATATGAAATTAAATAGTTTTGACCAACTAAAACAGTCATYATCTCTATTTTAAATTAAAAACAGAATGTCAGAAGCCTACATGAAACCTGTCAACATCAATGAGACACATATTAATATTCACAAACAGCTGTGGAGTGAACCAATCCTAGGAGGTTCTGGGGGCATGCACCCCCCAGAAGATTAAAAAAAAAATCTAATCAAAATTATGCATTTTCCAGTCAACTGAAGAGCATTTTACTAAATTGATTGGATTAATAAAACAATCTAAAACCAGCTTATTATCAAGGTAAAATGGTGAAAGCTAGTCTTTAACCTGAACTGTACCTGGAAATCAGATTAAAACTGCATTATGTTTATTTTTTACCTGAATGTTGCATTATGGAGTTTTGCTGTTTCAGTTAATCATTCATGAAGTGAGCCTATCAAATGTACTTTATTTGTCATCAATGATTGTTCCCATGCAATGATGAAATCTGTGCTCYGCTTTTGACCCATCACATGTGAGAAACACCCCAGTGGAGCAGCAGTTACAGAACAAATCACCTTTCTATTCACAGGTAAAGAAGCAGCCCAATTTAATATGCAAATAAATAAAGTGGGCATAAAGTAGGCTAAATAACTTTGTCATTTCTAGACACAGTCTTACAAACATCATGCGGCCTAACTTTTAGAAAAAAATCAGCTTAAATGAAATTGTAATTGTAATCACTCCTAGCTAAAGCAATATGATCATCATCCGTCATGTTTATTAATAGCTTGAAACATATATTAAAAGTCCCACAGTGAGTAGGTCTACTGTRATGTAAACCAGGTGTATTAAGGAAGTGGCTGCAGCTTAAACCAACAGTCAGCTTCGTGAAAACAACAATATTCCTCCATAAAATAACTAGTTTCCTTCTAACAAAATGGTCTCTCCAACTTTTACTCTTCCTCTCATTATATTTCTAAACTCCTTCCAAACAATCCATACAGCTGAATTCATGGTCTGTTAGGGCTGGGTGTTTAAAAAAAAAAAAAAAAAAAAAAAACCTGGAAGACGTCACCATAACTCTGCAGAAACCCTCCACACAGTTCTATTTTGATTCAGTTCAATTTGATTCAAT